AATTGATAGCCCGTTCCTAGTCACAAAGATGCATATATTCTGAGGCCATAACTCATTCTAGTATGTTCTGTGCTCAGTTCCAAAGCAGTCCGGTAGGCATAAACCGGGTTAAACACATGCAAATTATGAGCTTGCGTTATTGTTCTGAGTGATAGGCAAATCTTTTCACTTTTATTATTTTGCTTGTGACAGTTGCAGTTGGTGATAAGTGATACTAACACTAAATTTTTCAAGGAAACGAAGTACGTCATGTTCAGGCATTAAACCTGTTCTTTTTCTATTTTAGTCCCCTAAAAGAGCTAAAAAATAATCCCTTAAAAAATTTTTTTTTATGCAACTGGAGCATCAGGATAGCATTTAGTAGTATGACGACTCATTTTTTGGACTTCCAATTTGTAGACAGATTTTTTTAAAATTTAGGGAGTAAAAAAATGTGAGACATCAAAACTTTCCATGTCCAACATTATTTTTAGGATGCTTTTTTACCATGCTTTTCACTTGAATCTTTCCTATTTGATTTGGTGATGAAACAAATCTAAACAATTGCCTGAGTCCAGGTTATGGAAAGAGGCAAGCTTAGCAGTGTAACTACAGAGGTGCAGTTAATAGCAACAGATCCAGCACAGGATTGCGTGGGATGACATTATCAACATATATCCTGGTTTAGCTGATATTTTGAGGTGAAATTGGGATGATGCAGTGCCCCTCTTTGAGGCCTTGGAGGTTGTTCTGAACCAGCTTCCCAATGACTGGAAGTCCCAGCAGATGATCACGGAGAGTGCTGGGCTGTTGCTGGAGTTGGGGCATGGGGTTATCCTAAACGCATGCAGTAAAAGTGAAGGTTGTGTCCCAGGGTTTCCAGGCGTTCTACCATGCGCTTGTGTGTGGGGATGCCGTTTGGGTTGTGTTTGCTCTTTAGGTTAATGTAAGTGGTGATATTGATAACAGTGCTACTGGGTGCTGAACAAAAAGAGACAGTGAAAAATTAGGATTGCTGTTTTCAGAAGTACTAGTACTTTTGCTTGCACAGGAATGATTCTTTGGTTTGTATGCGTATATGTGTATTTATGGCTAAATAAAAACCCATATATTTACCATTTTGTTAACTTGGTGTGTGTTTAGGTGTTTTTTAAGGTGCTTGAGGTAAGATGCAGGGTTGACCCAACCTCATGAATGCTGTTGCTGAGGGTATCTTGATTCTTTTGAAAACTGATGAAATGTCAGTTATCTAAGAACTAATGACATGGTTTTAAGTTTTTGTTGCTTTGGCCAGAAGCTACTTGTTTCTTGAAAGCTGTTCTGTTTCCCTAGATGCCATTTGTAGAGCTCAGCTTGAAGAGTGAATCCCTCTGAGGTTTAGTGAGGTTTAGTGTGCAATTATTTGAAGTCAGTCACTTATTTACTCTATACATAGAATATTCTATAAATGTCTTAGAAGTCAGGCATGCCTCAGCCGTGATTGGTGGGTTTGGGACACTAGCTGGGAAGTGTAAATTCTGCTCCTGAGTGTGTACCTACAATTCCAAGACTCTTTGCAAAGTCCTTGCGCAGCTGATGTGAGAAAAAAGTCGGGCAGTGGTCTTGCACCAAAGGAATATTTAAAGGAAACCCAGGAGAAGTGGTATCTGATTGCTGTCCCATGGTTTACACTAAAATTTCCCGACTTTTATGTAACGCACTATGTCATGTAACTTCTAAATAAAGTACAGACTGTTTGAGCTGCTGGGAGTCTTTTTTAGAAGATAGTTTCCAGAGCAAAAATAAAATAACGTTTTCCAACCGGTTAGTTAACTTCTGCAACCCTGCTATATGGCATATACTTGAAAACTTTACAGTTGTTTGTATCATGGAAACTGAGCACACAATAAGAGGTATGTATAGATTAAAAATGAGAATATTGTGTCCAACTGAGATTTTATTCAAATTTGAGAAGATTTTTCTGAATATTTAAAATACAGGATTCAAACCTGAAAATATCTCTATACATGTTTAAGTTGGAGCCTGTGATGATGTCTAAGTGACTTCACTGAGCTGATTCTTGTAGATAATTAAACACGTATATACTTTTTTGGTATTGAAGCAATAGTGATGGTTAAATTTAATAATACTTAGATAATGTTCTGCTCTATCTTTGTTTAGGACCCTGCTGGTAAGCAGCCTTTTCATGGTAGTCTCTTGAGTAGGTTCATAAGATTCTCCTAGGAGAACCTATATCTTAAAACCATAATTTCTATATTTGGAGCAGGAGCTAGCCAGCTCTTTGTTATCTTTCCAGGTGGTTATTTAAACCTTATTCTAAGAGCATTAAATAACTCTTTGCTACTAGAAAAGCTTGATAAATACATTTAGATTTAATATAGGCCTAAGTGTTTAAAGCAAACGGCCATGAAGGTTTTATACGCTTATGTACTTGCTCTTGCAAAACTATTCTGGGATGACACTGTCATGTCTGAGTGTGGCAGCTCGAAGAATTGCTGACCGTTGGCAGTAGCTGGTTGAGCTCCTTTCTAAAGGTCTAGATTAGTCAGATTGGTAGAGTTAAGCTTCTTGCCATAGAATTTATGACTTAGTGGGTTTTTTGTTTTTTAAATTATTACTATTTTCTTGTCGTACCATCTTAAATCCTTGTATCGTCTTGAAATTTCTCACCTGTCCAGCACTGATGATGAGTTTGGCGATCTTCTGTTATTTGCATATAAAAACTGATTTAGAAAAGAAATAGTTTATTTTTACCATGTTACATTGGAATGTAAAATTATGTGTGAAGATGAAAAATAAAATGATTAAGCAGGTTTAAAAAAAAAAAGGTTGTGAAGAATGTTTTGGATTGTTCTTAAACTAAATAACACTAAAATGTCTAGTTTGATTCGATCTTCATCTCAATTTGCAGCGTGTAAGGCACAGACTTTTTTCCTTTGACTATGAAAACATCCAGTAAACTTTTAAATCAGTTAATTTAAAAAATAAATAGCTTTATGAAATATATGTTTTGATGATCAATGAAATTCTTTTAGGAATAAGTGAGCAAAATACATGGACAAAGAATTTTACTTCATCAGCAGGCAGCTGCTGAAAATTGGCCTGACCTTGTGTAGTGTATCCTTTCAATTCTCTTCAGACTTGAGTCGTCTTTTCTGCAGATAGGTTTATTGAAGCAAACTTACTTCAACCATTTCAAAACGAGCTGCCTCTATTCACATGATGAGTTACTGAGGTGGCTGACAAAGCGCATTTCACGTAGGTTTTTATCTTGATGTGCTGACAGGGTCTTTTTTAAGCTTTTTAAATTTTTTTTCCTGTTAAAAGAACGTTAATTTTTCTTTTAATGGTTGAAATATAAGCTTGCCCCAAAAGCCTTGAATTCAGAGATTGAGAGAGAGGTTGAAATGACCTTGATCTTCTAAATGTTGTACTTTACCCAAAGTATATTACAAATCCTCTCCAGAGAAATTATCTGGTGTCTACAAATACGAAGATATTAAACCAGCATGCAGATGTGAACAGAAAGAATTTTCAGGCATGTTAAATAATGGAAGTGAGACCTAGTAGTAACTCTGAAAGTTGTGATGTAGAGACAGAACTTCCTCAGCTGTGCTGCTGATTGAAAATAACTTTCCAATGCTAATGGATACTTTATCATCTTCATAGTCTACTGTCTTTGCTCATAAGAAATTTTTTTTGAAGTCCTACTTTGGTAGAGGCGTTGCTAAAATAATTTGCCTATGTTTGTTTTTTCTTTTCAGCTCTAGTTCAGACATTTTGAGAGACCTGCAAGGGACTGAGATGTATTCAGAGTCATCTGATAAGTAAGTAAAATGCATAGATGGAAAAGATAAGTACTGACAAGTCTCCGGGACTTTTCAACCTTTTGCGGTTTGTGGAACCCTACACGTTTTCTGCAGGAGGCAAATGCCTTTAAAAGGTCACACATATGGGAGACGGAATATATGTTTGAACTTTCTTTGGTCAGTGGTTTTGGACCTTTGAAAAATAACTTGTGGATGCTCCAAGCATCTCCTGACGACTAGCTGAAAATCATTATTTCAAGCTATATTTGAGGATAAATGAGTAAAAAAAAAAAAAAAAAAAAAAAAAAAGAGGGAAATGCTCTTTATGGAAAAGTTAAAGTCTAATCTTCTTCTATTGTATTTAAAGTTATATTGTCAATCTCTCCTGCATCTCTTTATCTGCTTGAACATGCTGGAATTGCAGCGTTCATTTTGATTTACTTCTGTCTGAAGATAAGCACTTTCTCTTTTAAGAAAAATCTTAGTATTTAATTTTTTAAAGATAACCCCCCGCCCCATTATATAGTGATAATATTTAAAAATTGGTTCTAGCTTTGCAAGATGTACAAATACTAAGAAACCATCCAAGGATATCTGACATGATCTGATGAAATACATGAAGATGGGAAAATAAGTATATATGAGGGTGCTAAAGGTATGCAGGAATAGTGACATTTAGAACAGTGTAGTGTTAGATCATTATTCCAAGAAGTTGGAAACAAGACTGATGGAGTTTGCAAAAGTAGTACAGTTTGCCCTTACAGCTGAAACTTGCTTGATTTGGAATCTCTGAATATCATGTTCGCTTTGGTAGTTAATCTTAAGAGAGCGATGAGAGCCCTATCGCATTTGATACTCTTAGTCTGCTTTTAAAGAAATTATGTCATAAATTTTTTTTAATTATCAATTACATACATATGTGGTCAATAGACTGACAGCTCTTAAATTCATGGTTAATGACAGAAGTAGTGTCTTAAACTTTTAGAATGTGTGTTTAAATAGTCTGTTGGATAATGAGGAGCTTTAATGGGAGCAATGGTAGAGTGCATCAGTGGAAAAATAGAAAGTAATACTTAAATCTTTATTGTAGATGTAGCCATAACTTGCGGAAGAAATGAACAGTATTTACTGGAAGGACATCTATAAGCATACTTTATAGTACCTGAAAGCAACTCATTAAGCCTGGCATTATAAAATACCTGGTTGTATGTATTTTCTAATGCTAGTCTGCCGTTTCCCTTGTGGTGATCTTTTGATGCTACTAGTGTTTATCAAAGGGTAAGAACCATATCTGACTTTTATTCTAATTTGTAGCAACAGCTATGAAAAAGTTTGACTCCTTTCTTGCATCTTGTTTTCTGAAGAATCCCTATTTCTGTGCCCCTTTTGATTCATACATGCTTCTGATAAACAGGCATCAGGGGTCCCAAATTCGCTGGGAGGGTCTGTAACCCTTGAGGTACTACCCATTCCTTCATTATGTAATTACAAGTTGCCTGTGTAGCACTATTTCTAAGTTAGTTGGCTATTTCTCAGCTGAAACAGTAGGAATGGGGCTCCTGGATAAAAGCTACTCCATAATGGTCTTTGGCTCTGAAATGTGATTAAAATCAACTGTGGCAATCAGAGCTAGAGGGCTCATGAGCTAGGGAGCCAGCTACTAGCCTGGAGCTCCCTGCACTGTTTTGGTTAGCTGCTTGAGGCTTGAAAGTGCACCTGCAAGAGATGGAGATGAGACATCTGTCCGTTTGGGTGTATCTTCTGTTTGAAGAGAAGTGAAAGACATGAATGAAGAAGCCAAGACACCCTGACAAAATGAGCTTGCCAGCTGCAGAAGAGAAAGTCATTCTCGAGTATATCTGCCTGAGATAACTTGGGAGGATTCATGTGATGAAACTTCTGTTGCTGCTACTGAAGCTGCCTCTGCCTGGCCGTCTGTCTTGGTGGGAAACCAGAGTGTGAGGGAGGTAGCTGGAAGTGCGGAGATAAGGATAGGGATGGAAGAATTTAGAAAAAGCTTTTCCTCTCTAGGTTGTAGCTTGGAACTTACGGAATTTGTGGAACTTGGTTATGTCCGTGCCTGTCATCTGATTTGTGTAGCTAAGGCTTGTTGTGAATGTGTCTGAAACCCTTTCTTATCCCCCATAGCACTCTGAGGCCGTATCTAGATGGTGGGGCAGATGCTTTCTGTGGTGTTTCTTGTGGTCCTCGTTCCTTGCTCATCCTCCTAGCTCCCACTGAGGAAGGTTATACTGTAGCTCTTTGCTAGTCTACTAGAGTGAGGCCTGGTGCATGCTCAGACTGTGCTCTGGCTGGGAGTTGGGGCGCAGGTGGGCTCCAGGAGCAGAGAAGTATTGCCAGGTTCCTCAGGGGAGGCATGTGTCTGCCTCGGAGAGAAGGATGGCATAGTAGTAGTTCTCGGCTATCCAGTAGAATATTCTTTTTTTTTTCCCTTTTTTAAATGCCCTATCTTTACAGAACTCCTGTACTTATCTTGAATCTACATGTTAAATGCATGTCTTTTTCTAAAATTGTAATTCAACCAGTGCTGTCTGAGGATCTCTTGATTATCTGTTCTAATGTGCTTGATTATCTGTTATAATGCCCAGTCTTCAGCAAAAATCCCCATGTCAGGTCTCAGGGCATTTTTGTTAAAGTCCATTTGAAACCAGCAATGAAGGAAACAGGACTGCGTGAAGTTTGAGTTGCTGATTTTAGGGCTCCATGCAAAGAAACTAGAGCAATAGCTGTGAGGAAATTCAGATCCCTGATCTAAGAGGGAAGCTATTGAGGAGCACAGGTTTTTGTTAGATGACTCGGGGATAGAATATTGCATCGGTATCATAGAATTTTCTTCTGTAATAGACCTACTTCACCTTGGAGGAGAAGATTCAGGAAGAATAAGAGTCGAAGTTCACATACTGTGGTGAAAATGACAGCTGCTTCCTTTGTCAGTACTGGGGCACTTACTAGAGAATACTGGAAACATTAGGTATAGAGGAAAATGCTTTTAGGGAAGAATCTGGTGAACAGACTGATTCGTGCTTGGGCTTGCAGGTGGAAGGTCAAAATTACTCTTTTCTGTTTGTTTGGAAGAATGGCATGTGACATAGATTGTCAGAACCAGTTTTGTTAGCACTTGGCATGGAAAGCCTTCAGTGACCTGTAGCAAGGAGAGGAAATTTCCAAGACTGAAGCCACATCATCGTATCTATGTCTACATTTCCATGGGTTATGTAGGAAACTTCCTGCATTATCCATAACAAACTGGGATTTCATAGCAAGCTAAACATTTTTGATTGAAACTTCTTCCAGTTTTTCAAAATATTTCTTTCAAACCTGTTAAAATTATTTCACCCTATTTAAGCAGAGATGCAAGAATATTAAAAACTAGTTGACATGACGAGCTCACCTGCTTCTGCTGTTAAAGCTAGTGACCTTTACCAGAAGTGCAGGATGCAAACAGTGACAGAAAATGTACCCAGTCAAGTCAGCTTTTGGGTATGCAAAGTGACTACTCTGGCATGGCAGTGGAGGATGGAGCTGGAAACTTGTACCCAGTGTATGTTCTGGAGCTATGGAGCATGAAGATGAAGGAAGATAGCAAAAGGTACATATTTCTAACACAAACTTGTTCTTACTGGTAGAACTGTAATCTATTACCATGGGGAACTGTATATTTTCTCAGTATTTTATGGAAGAATTCACTGAAGCCTCTCTTCTTGGTGTTTGATTCTGTGCTTTCTGTGGAAGGATATTTAACATATTTTAATCGTCCATGTAATGCCTTGTGTATTGGGCTTTCATTTATTACTGTTAGCCTTAATTTTGTAACAGTATCCAATCTATCATCCCATTTAAAAACGCCCCGTTTGCAAGTATTTCTGGGAAATTTTGTAAAAGTGAATGACAAGGCTAACAGTCTTCCTCTTACCAGTCACATTTTCTGTGTCTCACTGCCATCTCCAAAGTTGTGGATGGTGGGCTATAGTTTCTGTTTTACCGCACAATGACTTAAAACTTTCTCAGTGATGGTTCAATTAAATTATTGTATATTCCTTTTTGCCATCTCTAGACTGGAATTCAAGGAGAGCAATCAGCAGAGTTTGTCTGTAGTGCAGGAGGTAATAAGCTATGGCTTAGGGGGTTGGCATCTGTGGCTTCTTGCATGGGTTGGAAAAGCATATTCCTTAGTGGAAGAAGAAATAAGAACATGAAGAAATGAAAACAATATTACAGTTCCTTAATGAAATATGTCTGTCTAGCAGTACTGCATGTTTAATATTAGTGATATGTGTCCATGGTAAAATCATTTGTTACTTTATTAGTTTCCTTCACCCAGGAAACTTCTCAGTTGTTCAGTAGGTTGGCTTAAAGTAATTGGAAATAAAACTTGGCCAGGTTGATATGTGCAGAAGAATGTTAAGTATAGCAGATCTACAACTTTAATGAAAGCGATTGATCTTTCTGTTAATTAAAGAATTGTAGCCTGCAGGAAACCTATTCTAAGTGGTACAATAGATACACAGTCAAATGAGGGCTTTGCTTTGGCAAGCTTAACGTGTAAAGGCACAGGCTAGCACATCAAAGAATAGACAGTACGTGTATTTTATAGCCAGCCTGGATTTTTTTAAAAATAGAGTTATGACAGAAAGACATCATCCATCTTACCATATTTTTATAATAATTAGTAATAAGGTATTTGGAAGACAAGGGAACCAAGTAATATAGAAGCTCCAGTCTTTGGCTATATGTTTTCTTATGCTTTTTAACATAAGATACTTAGCATTCTGCTTTGGAAAAGTATAGGTATCAACGTTAGAAATGAGCAGAAGTTAAAACACTAAACCTGTCCTTCAAAGTAAATGACAGCTCTGCTCCGTTCTGTATCCTCAGTAAGATATTTTTGCGAGGATAACCATGTATTGCAAAATCTTGAAAAAATGGAGGGAGGGGGAAGATGCAACTAACAGGTGCTCCTTGTGCAGTGACACATTAGCAGAATTGTTAGTTTGAATGTTGTTTATTGTTGCCATATGTTGTATTATAGTTTAGCCTTTTGAAAACTTAAGCTGTTAGTTTTGAAATACATTGCTGTCTTGCCTCTGGTATATATTAAACATTTGCAAGTGGATGAATGGTATCAGAAGAATACTTTTTTTTTCTTGTAGAACAAAAACAGTAGCTAATGGCCTCTCTGAATTCCTATACTACACGTGTTTTCATTATGCTTTTGAAGATTCTTGCTGAAGTTTGAAAGGTATAGTGATGGTCTATATTTGGTTGAGGCTCAAATGGAGTTTTTAGACTGAGAATACTTCTGAATAGCGTGTATTCACGTAGAATTTTACATCTTTTATTATCTGCAGATCTATAAACTATATCATTTAATATTAGGGCGTGAGGACTGAACATGTTAAAAAGCTTCTGTGTGCTGCCCTACAGAATATTCCTTTTGGTTGCTTAACTACCCTGTTGGTGACAGGTTTAGTTGTGAATCTCATTGAAGTCTTTTGCAGAGCAAAAACAAGGAAAAGAGTCTCACCTGAGAAACAGACGTCATCAGGGAGAGTACATTTTTCTGTATTTAAGGTACAAATTCTTAATATTGATCTTACTTTATATATGGTAACCTAATATTGTTCTACAATATGATCTTAAAATCGGGATGGTTTTGTTAACTGAAATAAGTATTGTTTTTGTCAAATGTCATGACATTCTTTAAAAAAACACGCGCGCACACACATCTTCCATTTGATGTTTTTCACTGTTGGGATTTCGAGTTTCCTATGGCTCTGAAAGGATTAAATTCAGGATTAAATTCAAGTTAAAGCTTCAGTGGAAGAAATATAAACAGACTGCTCTTTGCTCAGCAGTGAGAGCATGGCTCAATAATCTTAATTTACCTCAATCAGGGAGTGCATTCTTCCGAGTAGGAAATCAGATTGCTATTTTTTAACACACCCTCCCGAATGAGTGGGGACAGCGGTAAGCTGACATCCTTTTGCTGTCTGTCCAAAGTTGTACTCATGCTGGCCACATGGTAGGATATTTTCAGTGGAAAATCTCTGTTCAGTATCCTCTCTGGCAGTATACTCTAACCCCAGTGATACCCTTTATGGTGTCCTTTCTTTTTCACATTTGTCGATGTTCTTAATATGAGAGTTGTGGGCTTGTTAAAAATTTCAGAGTGAAGTTCTCTGAAAGAGAATTAGATAAAGCATCCTTAAAACTTTTGCTGACACTTCATTATTTTCCCTGGGCAAATGGAAAAATGGCAGAACTGAGATGGGATCTTTTGGATCTCAATTGAAATATTCAGCCTAATTTTCCAAAAGAAGCATTCTTATCTGTTAAAACGTTTAGACTAAAGTTGGTCTGACCTTACCAACTTCTCTAGTTACAGTATATTTAAGCAGACTGTGAAATACATGTTTGAACAGATGAAGTTCAAAACCAGCTGTTTTCAGTAGAAAGTGACTTGTTGAACATCATAATTTACATGAGGCATCTAATAAAGAAGATACTAACATTCATATTCTTCATTTAGAATAAATTGTCTATTTTGTGAAACATTTAATGAACATTGATTCATAAATCCTCTAGCATCTTCTTTCATTTCTCCTAATTGTCTTATTTTGACACAAAAAGATTAGAAGTTAATGTTCAAAAAGTAAACCCAAATATTTTTGTATGTCATATTTGCTATTTATTTGTAAAAGTGTACAAATGGGGTAGTTCAGGGGCAGTTTGGACCATATTTTAGCAAAAAATTGGCACCATTCCTGAAACATATTTAAGCATAATTATAATGTTTTCTGAGCTTTTGAAATAATTTTTCTCATCCTTCTCATCCTCTGTTATGTTTTTTTAAAAAAAAAATGCAGTTGCTGTGGTTTTAAGTTTGCAGAATTGATTTAAGAATGAAGTTAGTAGGACTACAGAAATTCATATTACTTTGTATCTGATGAAACTGAGGCAGCATTTCAGGTTCTCAATAACCTCATGGTGACTAGTTTTGTGATATGGATGTCAAATAGTAGTTCATAACTGCCAACATAACTGCAGGTTTTGGTCAGCTCCTTGGACAATATAAGATTTGAATGTCCAAAAATTCATTTTAGTTTTAATGAAAGCTTTCTATAGTGACTTTCCTATTTAGTTATGGCTTAGTTTCATTCCCAAATGCAGTCACAGTTTTTCTGTAGATGTTTTAAT